TTTTCATCCTAACTGTAAGCAGGCAATCCAAGGCCTTGTGTGAATGTTCTAGAAATATTACATTGGAGAAGTCAGAGAGACCTTGGAAGTCAGTGGAAAAGTCTGCTTCCTATTCCAGGAGACTTCAAAAGAGGTAGGGTCTTGTTCTAATCATGTTTCCTCCTTAAATCAGGTTGAGTCACAAAGTGAATAGTCTACATTGCGGGGAAAAAAAATAAAGGTCTCACTCCGAGGTTTAGCTACCTCGCAGAGCATGCGTCCTAAGAGCTGAGGAATAGAAGAAAGAAAGCAGGGCACAGCTTCTTTGGTGCTGGGCTGAGACACATTTCTTTGTGTTATGGCTGCCTGAGCATCTGGGACATGGGAATGCTCACTGTTGAAGTTAACCTGGGCAGATTTTTCTCAGCAGTTAAAAAAAACCTCAGTGATGAGAGTTGTAGTAGTTTTGCATGAATTTAAGAGTAAACTTAAATCTAAGGCAATCAGGTACCTGAGAAAATACATCTGCTGGGAAAGTGAGCTCTGTTTCAGATTATGCTGGAAGAAGAAAGGATGGGCCATCTGTGTTTACCAGACTAGCCATTGTCCCATGGGCCATAAGAAAGCACAAAGAGTTTAATTTTTTCCTTAAATGAAATTAAAGGCTGAATTCAGCTAGCCTCTGCAATGAACAAGATCTCCTACTTCCATTTTACCTTGTCAATGATTTGAGAATTGCATAATGTATATATGTATTGAAACACAACATATACAATGCTTATTTTTAATATATCCATGAAAAAATTAAGTAAAAAAAAAGAGAAAGGAAGAACTGATAGGATTTCTTTACATGTTATTTTGCCAGCAAACTATTCTTTTATCTATAACTTCAGTTAGCCAATACATTGCATTACAAACATTATCCCAATCAACAATATTCCCTCAGATTTTCCCAAAGACATGATGCTCAGCTCAGCACTGAATATGCAAAGAATACACACCAACGAATCAATCTCTACTCTTAAAGAATTCCAGGTTGGGGATGTAGCACAGTAGCAAAGCACAGGCCTACCATGCATAAGGCCCAGGATTTTATCTCCAGCACTTCAGATATATTTAATCTCCAATTGGGATAGAATATAGAATGCAGAAGCAAAACCTATGGAACAGTATAGGAAAGTAGTTAGTAATTCATATACAAATACAAGTACTGAAAGATTCAGAAGGCATAGTGTCCAGTAAGGGTTAATACACTCAAGGAAGACACTCTGGAGCTCATGCTTCAGTCTGTTCAAATGTATATGGTGTGTGTTTGCAGTATGAAGTAGAAAGCAGTGGTGATGATAACGTTGTATATAAGTTGTGTGTGCTTGTGTATTAAGAAGTACATGTTAGGAAAGGTTCCAGAATTGGACCTTGTATATAAATGACAGGTATTGTGATTCTTAGATCACATGTAGGTAACAAAAGACGTGTTATGTTGGGTAAGTACTGAGAAACGTCTCAAGTTATGTTCTGGACAAAGACTGCTGCAAGCAATGCAAGGAGGAACATGCTTATAATCACAGTAGTTGGGAGGCTGAGACAGGAGGATGGAAAGTTTGAGGTGAACCATGATGACATAGTGAGGTTCCATTTTAAAAACCAAAGCCAAAACCAAAACCAAATGAACACAAAGATGGGCCTCAAACTAAATCTTTCCTTCACAGAGAAGAGCACAAAAGTATCTTTAAGTTTCTTTTAGCATACAAATTCATATCCTCGAAGAGATTTGTTCCTCTCCCTCTTTCCAAAGTTCTCCTTTACGGGGATATATAAAATGTCCATTGTTCACACTGGGAAGAATTAACATTAACCTGCAAGTAATGGAATATGATCAAAGGCTCGGAGCAGATGGGAAATGTGCGCCAAGTGGCATTTCAGAAAAATTAATCTAGCAAGGTTTGGAATATGTAATGAGAAAGGCAATGAGTGGAACGAAAAGCTTATCTTCAAAACTTGTTCCACGTCCATGTTAGTATGACTTACATAATGTTGGGAGTTTTCTTCTTTGTAGTCTAGGACCACTTCCTTTGGATGAGTATTATCTCAAACCTCTATAGATAAAGACAAATGTAGAATTGAAGGGACAGTATTCTGAATAAGGGAAAGAAAACAGCTAGTCTACACTATATAGGACCCGAGAAAGAACCAAGGACTAAGCAGAAAGCTTTAACTTCACAAGAGACAGAAAACGTGATTTACAAATTGCATAATGTTGCATGGTCCTTAAACATAGAGAGAGTTGGAGAGATTTAAGTTACTAAAACACTAAGTCCTGAAGCTAAACTAACCTCAGACTTCACATCCTAGTGAGGCTAAGCAACATAGCACCTGACATGGTACATTTGTGTTTATTGGCCACATTTAAAAAACAATCTTTCCGGGGCTGGGAAGTTGGCTCAGTGGTAGAGTGCTTGCCTTGCATGCATGAGGCCCTGGGTTCGATTCCTCAGCACCCCATAAGCAAAAAGAAAAAAGCCGGAAGTGGTGCTGTGGCTCAAGTGGTAGAGCACTAGCCTTGAGCTGAAGAGCTGAGGGACAGCGCCCAGGCCCAGAGTTCAGGCCCCACAACCCGACCCAAAAACAAAAACAATCTTTCCCAAAGATAAATTAATAGCTAAGACTTTTTTAAAACAAGACTATTCTTTGACCTATCATTGTTCAAATGATTATGCTTACACAGTGACAATACTTTCATCAGGCTACTATCACCCATTCATTTTCTTTGCCACAATGAAGGACCAAACCAGTTATGATATTAGTGTGTCTAGGGAGAAATTCCTACCCTTGATAGACCATTATGCACTATGGATTTTTTTAACCATTCAGTCCAAAGCCTTAGTCTTATATTCCCTCTTCATCATCCTCTTATTCTTCTTTATAAAAATTTCTAGCCACTCCTTTTTCTAATAGCACATGCTATTAGATAAATTCTTCTGTATAATTTTTTTTATTTTAAGATTTTTTTTATTGTGAAAATACCATACAGAGGGGTTACAATTACATAAGGTAATGAGTACATTTCTTATCAAGCATTGTTGCCTCCTCCTTTATTTCCCCCCCAACCCCCACCCCACCCTCCATGCCAACGTTGTAAAGTTCGTTTTCCGACATAACGTCTTGTACATCTCTTTGTTGCAATGGGTCCATCTGTATCCCTAAAACATTTGTTTTTTCCCTTCCCCTCCACAAATTATACCAACATCAAATACAGTGTAAACAAGGGTTATACCATGGGGCGGGACACACAAAGCAACAAAGAAATCATCTTATAAATATGTTAGAAACAATAGCAGGCAAGAAAAACCATTTGAGTCCTTATCTTTGGGTTCATTCTTCTTTTAAAGTTCTTTCCACATTGCCATAGACTCTCAGAAATAAACATCAACAAGGTAATAAACAAAGAATGCACATGTTAGTAGTTTAGGCAGCTGAGGTTTTGTTTGATGTCAAGGAAATTGTGACTAAGTTGAAAGAATTTTCTTAAAATAAAAATTATTTTTGCAACAAAGTCTTGGTTGATTCTAGATAAGGTGAAATAAAGAGTTGGGCTCTTGCCTGAGCCAGTGGCTCATACTTCTAATCCCAGATACTTAGAAGACTGAGAGCTAAGGTCCAGAGCTGAAGCTAGGCCTGGTAGGAAAGTCCAGACACGAGATTTTTATCACCAATTAACCAGTAAAACCCTTGAAGTGTTTCAAGTGCTAGAGTACCATGAGCAGAAAGCTAAGGGATAGTGCTCAACCCCTGAGTTCAAGCCTCAGCATCAAAACTTTACACCCAGACACACAAAAGAGTTGGGATCTTTACCAAGTAGAACTTTGTACATAATACTTTCCTTATGCAAATATGTAGGATTTTTAACTTGGCATTGTGGCCATGATGAGGAAAATTATTCAAAGAGTCTAGTTTAGTCCAAACCCAGTCCATCTACTGTTTTCTTAAGTGGAGCCCTTATTCCTAGAGTAGACTCTGAAGAGGAAGGAGGCAACCTGTTCACTCTATAAATGTGTCACCAAATCTTTGGCCACTTAATTTGATTCATTTCTACATTTTCTATTTTATTTTCAAGAAGAACTTCAAAAGAAATACTATGTTAAGGAAAAGCACATTTCCTGTCTTTGACAAGAGTCTAGGTCTCATTTCTCTTAGCAATAATGTACAACTATATTTTTAGATTTTTATACATTTTATATCTTAGCTAAGAGCTTTCATGTGAGAATAAGTCTAGAAAGTTCACTATCTATTTTGCTGGCATCAGAAAATTCTAAAATGATAAATACACTTGATTTTACCCCAATCTAGAAATTGCAGTTATTAATAGTCTGGCTGGGATGGGAGGGAGAAACATAAAATCAATTCAGGTGGAAGAATATTGAAAGAATATTCAGCTGACTTACGCTACTAAAAATAAGTAATTAAAAAACATTTTGCTTTAATCTGTAAGTGAAACATTCACTACTTAATACAGCCCATCAATACCAAAACATATTTGCAACATGTTAAAACTTTTTTATATTAAGAAGCACTTCTTTGGGTTTCTTAAAAAAAATAGCAATACAGGTATATGCATTTTAATGTTTCTATTATTGTGTAAAGTACAACAAAATAATAGTAGTGCTAGGCTTCATGCACATTGTACTTATTCTAAGAGGGATATCTGACTTTATTTTTTAAAAAACAGTGTTAGAGGTCAAGCTCACTGGAATAATTTTTTGACTTAACAAAAGCCTTCTAGAAACAATGTATCAACTCATTTCCTGTGATATCCACTGCAATCAAATTGAAGAAAACCAAAGAATCTGAGTAGCTTCTGGGATTCCTTAATGGAATTTGGAAGAATGTGGAGTCTGCATCTGAGGTCTCTTTAAATCACAGCAAAATATATTCAGCAGAGAACATTTTTATTTTTTCCAGTTAACCACTCTCTCTTTCATTTAACAAAGAAGTACAAACATCATCAAAATTAGATCACTTACCATAAATGCCCGTTGAGATGCAGGGAAATGCCTGTGAAAAAACACAAAAATTGCAATAAATTTCAAAGAAATTGTTCTGTACATTATCTATCTTGACATGTATTTTGTTTGATAAAAGATATCTTCCATTTGTAAGTGGAGTTACACTCAGGCTTAGTATGTGGAACAGGAGATCCTCTGGAAATGAAAATGTTTGCTTCATTGAAAGCTTTCTTTTCCTGCAATTACACCAACTCACTTGATCCAACTTAAGTTTCAAGAATCTCGTGAGCCAACTCTTAACTGTTGTTAAAAAAAATGATGCAACCCCCAATGAAATAGATTTATCAGTGAGAAGATAAACAGTCATTACAACGCATCCTTCTTAATTCCTCCACCACACTTCATTATTACATATGCTCTTGAGATGGTTTGTGTCTACAGTGTGTGCATAACGTCTACGGTGTGTGCGTGACAGAAATGCCAAGTGGTGGTGGATCTGAAACTTCTCCTGCTCATTCTCCAGTAATCTGATGTTATCCTGGTGTTCTGCAATCTGAAATCAATCAGCATTCATGTCCCATTTCTAGGGACCACTGAAACGCAGTGTAGTTAAAACTAAAAAAAAAAAAAAAAAAAAAGGTTTGGAAAAAATTAATGTAAAGCTTTTGATGAGACTCAACTGGCTATGCAGAATGTATAAGAAGGTGTGTTCTGTATTTTGCTCTGATGTGTAAATTGAATGTCAGCAAAATGTAAAATAAACTTATATTGTACATGCCCTTTTATTTTTAAGCATCTGTCCTTAAACATTTATTGAGACAGTACAGTTCATACCACATTCACTGAGCAATAAAGCATTTGATTTTTTAAATGAATGCACATGTATAGATGCACAATTTATTCCTATTTAGGCTTTCTAACTGTACAATGCCATCCAGGTGTGGCACTCTCTTCTCTATTGTAAATCTGTGTGAATTCAGTCAAGATCTTTCTTATTTTTATATTTTTTTCAGTTAAAAAAATAAAACTTTTCTATGGCAATTAATTGTAGAGTTTTTGCTGATTATATTCGTAAACTGCTTAGTTGAATGGCATCTCCTTTGTACAACTACTTAACGATAATAATAAAAATAAATTTGAAATAACACAATTGCAGTTGGCCATGGTAACTAACATTATTATTAATAATTGTAATGAAGAAATATCTAAGTCATTTTTCTTTACATCTTTGGGTTAATATATATTATGAATTTCCTGTACCTTTTTTTTTCCTGAACCTGAATTTAATACCTTGTAGTTCCTAGGCTTACCGGCTCATGGCTGGTATTCTACCACTTTAGACATACATACTTCAGCCCAGTAAGGTTACTTCAAGATAGTCTCTGGGATTAACCAAGTCTAGGAAGATACTCTGATCTCCATATCCAGATTAGCTAGGATTGGAGGCTGGTGATTCACTAGTACCCGATTTCTCTACCATTTTCTAGACCAGTGTGTATTCCTTTTACCTGATGCCTTCTCAAAATTTCAGAATTTGTGTTATTTTGTTTTAAAGAAACTAAAAATTATTTCAATTTGTGTCTATAAATTGAAACCCTTTCTTCTCTGCAGAAACCTTTTACTATTAAGTACTAAGTGCTAGGACCGAGGAAATAGGGGAATTTCTGGGACATAGTATGTATTATCCTTTTAATTATTTCATTGTCAGACATATTTTTGTTTCCTTCTCTTTGTTTCATTTCTTTTTCTTTTTTGCAGTGCTGGGTATCAAACCTAGGGCCTTTGTACATGCTAGGCAACCATTGAGCAATACTCCCAGCATCTCCCTAGGATTCTTGAGGTACTAAGAAGTTTGGAGGAATATTCTTGAGTGCTACAATTCGCCCAATGACACAGAAGCATTAGTGCGATGTATATTCTCAAAATACTGTAAACTTTCAGGCACTGGACCTACAGTACATGCCACCTTCTCCCTGAGTCCTCTTTGGCTTCCTTTCCCTCTCTTCTCCAGATGTTGGCATTGAAGGCATTCCTTAATAGTTATCTGATACCCTATTCTCCATCTCAGAGCAGGTTTCCTGATCTAAACTAACTCTTACTTCCAATGACATGAGTTATTCTCCCATTAGATCTAGCAGAAGAAAGAACATACCAAGCAGTTAAGGACACATTCTATTTGCTTCAGCTCCCAGTTCTCTCCCTTGGAATCAATCATGCAACTTAATAATTGAGTCTGAATGTAGTAACTGCCTTGTCTGCCTTAACAAGGACAAATGGCTTCATCTGAAAATGACATCGTTGCCTTAAATGTGAAGGCAAACAGTAATGTAATGGAGGATGACTTCGGTAATATTATTGTGCTAACTGAAACAAAAAGGCAATGCTAAAGCAAAGATGGAAATACAGTATCATGGAAAAGTAATTTTACATACAATAACACTGCATATAATTCATCTAAACTACATCTCCTCCATTAATCACTTTTTATTACTTGAGAGAGACAGAGAAAAAGAGAGAGAGAGAGTACTAAGAGTAAAAGAGACAGATGGGGACGTAGAGAGAGGAAGAGAGAGTTCAACTGAGGATTTTGCAATCCATCAGCTGTGTTCTTTGTCATAATAAATTTCTGATGGGGCTAACAGAAGGGAGAAAAATAGGATGCTCTGATTTCAGAGCTGTGTTTAGCATAACTACCTTCATCAAAAACCCTTTTCCATAGAGAAACAATAGATCGTATCAAAACCCAGGCCAATTATCTTAGTTTGTTGAAGTGCATCTAACTCAATGGTCATCTATAGAATTTGGGAAATGACATCATTTTCAAGGCTCTAGAATCCCTTTTCTGGCAAACTCCAGGAGCAAAATATCTGTGCTAATCAAGTACAATCATATAGGCATCAGAAATTAGTTTGATAACACTTAGTTTTAGGCTATTTCTAAACTAGGATATGCTGCTCTCTTGGGAGAAAAATTTACATATATATATTTATATGTTTTTATATATGTACATATATATCATTTATATACTCTTTATTTATATATAATCATTAGAATCATTGAATTGACCTAGAGAATTGTCTTTCTTTTGTAAAATTACAGATTGGGCCAACAACTGGAAAATACTTGCCTTAGTCTAACATGTTGGTTTCAAGCACTTAATAAAAGCGTTGAAATCTTTAAATTTCTATGCCATTTCTTTTCTTTTTTTGGGGGGGGGGTCCGGTCGTAGGGCCTGAACTCTGGGCCTGGGCGCTGTCCCTCAGCTCTTCAGCTCAAGGCTAGTGCTCTACCACTTGAACCATAGCCCACTTCCAGCTTTTTTCTTTTTGCTTATGTGGTGCTGGGGAATCAAACCCAGGGCCTTAGGCATGCAAGGCAACACTCTACCACTGAGCCACCTTCCCAGCCCTCTATGCCATTTCTTATCTCTGCTTTCTGTATCTGTAATGTAAGCACCAGAGAAGTCCCTCTGGTTTTTAAATTTGATTCACAATGTTCTCTCAAAAGCAAGACAGAAAATCCTAAACTAACATCATTACTTCAACTTGCCTTTCTCTGACCCTTGATGAAAATCAAGAAAGTTTCTTTCATCTTTATCCATGGTCATCTCATCTATTCTACTTTACTCATTTCTTTGTTGTTTTTGCTCATAGCTGATACTCTGTCATTTGAGCTATACATCAACACCTCCACTTTGGGCCTTTTGTTGGTTAATTGGAGATCTGAATCTTCTGAATTTGTCTGCCAAAGTGGCTTCAAACCAAGATCCTTAGATCTCAGTCTCCTAAATAGTTAGGAGTGTAGGTGTGAGTCACTGGCACCTAGCTACATACTGTCCACATTTCTGTAGAAATTCTGTATTTTGGAGAGGATGGACTTCATTCCCAGGTCCAAGGGAAAGTGCTGATTGATCTGTATAAGTACAGGCAGCAGGCTGTAGCCATACAGACAACAGAATGAAGAGTTCTTTCTCAAGGACCTATCAGCATATATTAACTATGAGGTGACTCCAAACTTTGGGATCTATCAGTTTATGAGCAAATTTATTGTTAGATCAGTTTCAGTTAAATTTAACATTATTTGTAAGCAAGATCCACCTCTTGTTTAAGTATTTTTAATTGTATATCACACTTCAGTAAATTGAGAAAGTTGTCATTTTCATAAGAACCACCTTCATTTCATGTTACTTTTTGTATAATTAAGAAAAAAATGTTTCAGCTGGGTGCTGGTAGCTCACACCTGTAATCCTAGTTACTCAAGAGGCTAAGATCTGAGGAGCCCAGTTCAAAGCCAGCCCAGGCATGAAATTCCGGGTGACTCTTTCTTATCTCCAATTAAGCACCAGAAAAATGAAAGTGGTGCTGTGGCTCAAGTGGTTGAGCACTTGTCTTGAGCTGAAGAGGTCAGGGACAGCACCCAGGACAAGTTCAAGCCCCACAACTGACAAAAAAGAAAAAAGAAAAAAAAAGAAAGAAAAAAGAAAATTTCATAAGTTGAAATGTAATGCCTGCTTTCTTTTAATTTAGGATTTTTATTACATGTTGAGATTACTATTTATAGTTTATATCATAGTTGTAAAAGTACATCTTTCTCTAGAGAAAATGAACCAATTGCTTCCCCAAAATGCCTCATATTCACAGTCCAGTACTAAATCAGCTCTGAGTCATAGATACTGTTTCAGTCAATCCTGTCCTTAACCTATGTCTGTGTTAACATGTGTTCTACTATTGGTCATGGACTTTTTTTTCCTCCAAACCTATAACACTACCTCTGAAGATTTGATGGTTGTATTCTTCTTTGCTCATGCTAGAGTTAGCAATAAGGGTTTTAGACACAGTTGTCTAAAATGGTTTCTAATTGGATAGCTGGCTGAAAATCAAGGAAGCTTAGTAAATCTATTTGGTTGATGAGCGAGTATACACATGGACAGGCAATGAACTTTACCAGCCCTATACATTATTGTAAGGTATTCTATACTCAAAGAAGTTAGACTATAATAAATATACATATACATATATATCTGAAAAACACTGCAACTCAGACCTTTAA